TCTCCTGTTTTTGTCTTCTACCGTACAGCAAAACGTGATTTATGCTTTCCCTAGACTTTCACTCAACGCATTGACGCTGTTTTCTGACCAGTTATCACGAAGCTGAACTCTTCAATCATTGGCACAGTTTTCTTCTGAATACCAGAAGTGACATTTTAGACCATGTTTTTATTGTATGCAGTAGCTCGACTAAAAAAGATTCCGATTCAAATCAAGTCGCTAGGATGCTCGGATTCAACGCCAAAGCCATTTTCTCTCTTTCACGGACATGTCCAGTTAATCGCTTTTTGGGAAGTCTGTAGTACGCGGCAAACATGTTGACTGTTAACTCACCGAAGCATTATAGATGGTGGTAGGCTAAGGCAAGGTTTTCTCCGTTGCTCTCCAACAGACAACACCCAGCATGGACGTCAGTGGCGCATTTTTCGGAGTGTATACTTACAGCGGGTCGCGCGTCCGAGGGCCGTGGTGCCGAAATAGGGGGGAGGATAAGGGAGGGGGACGGGAACCTTTGACCGGAACACACAAACGATCACCGTTTTGCATAAAAAATATAAGTTTTAAAAATAAGGTAGCGCCATTTAGTTAATATGGAGCGTATATACATGTCCTATAGTCTTGGTCATAACAAGTTTGCCTTTGTTGCTCTCTAGCAAATAACATTTGTTATTTCTCGACGTTTCTGTCAGAATATCGTGCAAATAGTCTTGTGCTATGACTGTTAGGGTTTAGTTTTCATACCGTATTCAGTGCTAAATAACACATAACCGTGTTGATACGCAATATGCAATAATTTAAAAATGTTGCATTGTACTCACATTAATCCATCTCCTTATTCCTTTTTTATCATCCGCAATTCAACTCTCATAGCAAAAGTGATGAAAAACAAAAGGTGATATTGGCCTAGTCAAAGAAAGCCAAAGTGACCTAGCCGACACAGAATAACAAAAAACTGTGGCCTAGCCGACACAGAAAAAAAGAATAAATGAAAATAGCGACCTAGCCGAGACAGTAGTGATATCAACTAAGCAGTAATAGGACATTTCGAAATCACAAATAATTGCATACAAGTTGTAACTGAATCGCCACTTGCAGACAAAATCGTTCTTGAAGAAGTCTTGGTATTTAATTTGCAGATGTGTCTTTCCCGAAAAAATCTAATCATTCTAAATACTGAGACGGAATTAATTGATCCCGAAATTAATATGGCGCAATTAACAACCTACAATCTTCAATTTAATCAAGATGGCAAATCGATAGGGCCGGAGTTTTAACGATCAGTCTAGAGGCGACGGAACTTGTTACCAATAATCTGCCATGGGTACAAATTCCCACATTAAAGAAGACACTTTGACTCCTGTTCAGTGATTCATATGCTGCAGCACAGAACAGAAGGTAATACTAGATTTAGTTCATAACAGGAGATACATAGGCTTGGTTTTCGCAAGTGTATCGAAATCATCATGGTATGTCCCTAAGTAGAGAGCGCTTCGGTTGTCATTATCATTGTCAACAATTTTGTTAGCCTGTTCCGAGGGAGCCTGAAGTTGGTTCCTAGTTCCTAGTTCCGTTTAAGATAAACGGAACTAGGAACCAGACCCTAGTTCCGTTTAAGGTAAACGGAACTAGGAACCAGGGCCCACTGGTATAAAACATCTCAAAGTTAAGGAAAATTTCAAGCAATGTATTGTCTATGGAGAATCTTAGACTTGAGGAAATCTCAAGGGTTGAGATGTTTTATACAAGTGGGCCCAGACCCTTGTTCCGTTTAACATAAACGGAACTGAGAACCAGACCCTAGTTCCGTTTAACATAAACGGAACTAGGGTCTGGTTCCTAGTTCCGTTTATCTTAATCGGAACTAGGAACTAGGAACCAACTTCAGGCTCCCTGTTCCGAATCAGTTTTCTTTGTTCATTCTTAAAAACCATTAGCAGGAACGAATTTAGTGACAGCAGAACTACTAAAATATGTGTATTTGGTATATATTTTGTTTTATACAAGTAAGAGTATTATGTAATACCGTGTCTGAACCGTGATATCCGACAGAAGGCACTAGTTGATTCAGTATATATATATCAAATGGTGTATAACCGTGGTTTCCATACATAAACACCGAAAACACAATTGGCATAGCCTCACAATAGGACAAAACAGCTGGTAATTTCGGCCGCTGTACTCTTGAAGCAAAAATCAGTGCGATCTGTGAATGTACGTATATAGGCTTAGCACACTTATTGATCTACACACCGTATCTGCGCGAGCCTAGCGCGCGATCTTGCGCGAGCTGGTCCGGAGTAATGAAGGAGGAAATTATCAGAGAATCTCCGTTTGTAATTAAATATCTGCTTACAATGACAGAAATTAAGTCCTTATGGAAGTTATGGCTTCAAGCACTCGAGTCGATAGCAGATAGACTCGCCATGATTCAGACGACATTTAAGATGTCCCAGGTTAATTAGATTTGAAACGGATCTGTTGTCAATGTTGCCGTGCTTTCTGTCTATATCCAGCAGACGATCAATTAAGGAGGTCGGACTGAACACTCGATTGTTTCCCTCTTGCCTGTGTGTATTGTTGTCTGGAGTATATTAAAATGCCATTCAGACGGATGTCGGTTTGTTGTTCTAATTACTGAAGATAAGAAACGATTACGGTGTTTTCAGGATTCCGCTTTTGCACAACATCAAGGATAGACAAGAATCAATTCTTTGTTTTGAAACTAGATTTCTATCAAACAAATGAATACAATATTTATTAAAGCCTTTAATAGAAACAATAATACGAATTATATTACATTTATTTATATACTATAAGATATTTATTGATGAATTCCTGCGAAAATGTTCAGGTTGTATAAACGTGTTGTTCAAACTCAAATTTTCATGGGAAAAAAACAGACTTGTCTAAAAAAATATACAGAGTACAGATAATGGTTAAAAAAAAGTTACACAACCATTACACAACATTTAATCAGAAATATTTCTTTTTAAACAGTTTTGATAAATTTTCGATCAGAAAACATGTTTACATGGGGCTTTTCTATCCTTTTAAATCGGAAAGAATCGTTTTCGCATTTCGATACTGTAAAACAAAAGATATATACATACAAAACACGGTTTTTGAATTGAAGTTTTAGTTGCCAAGGTTACCTTCCACGGGGAATGTTTTGGTCGAATAACATTTTGCAAGATTAATAGATATTTGGTTCACACGAGGGGCCAACTGTCACATCGTAGACATTGTACTTGTAATGAGCTGTGACGGTAAACACTAAACATTTCTTATCGAACCGACCTATTCTTGGGCTCTTAGACAGAATTTAAGAAAACCGTCCTAGATGTGCAAACCATATCGTGAATGTACATTGTACATAACACCAAGTCTGTGACCGGAATACCGGAACTGACCAATAATTTTGTTGGTTTAGATTACACAGGTTCATTTTCAATTTAATCGTTCATGAGGTCCTTTTTTCACATTTCCTTATTATATAATGTGCGTGTTACTGTGACAGGTTGCATTTCATGACTTTTCAAAACAAATCCTATACTGTAGTCTTTCATAGACTGCTATGACAGGCACATGCGGGTTACAATATCATCTGTGTATAAGAAAGAAATATGCATGTACAAGGCATTGACACCAAGTTGTATTGATACCGTAAAATGGGTTGCCCTTGTGTTTCGCAGTGTGGTATAGCTTTTCCTTGAACACTGACGCAGTGGTATTTTTTGTCGTTGAGTGTTGACGTTGTGGTGTATTTCATCGGGGTGTGTTTACGTTGTATTTTTTTTTTGTCGTTTTGTGTTGACGCTGTGTTATGTATGTCGTTGTGTGTTGACGTTGTGGTGTATTTTGTCCCTGTGCGTTGACGCTGTGTTATGTATGTCGTTGTGTGGTGACGTTGTGGTGTATTTTGTCCCTGTGTGTTAACGCTGTGTTATGTATGCCGTTTTGTGTTGACGTTCGGTGTATTTTGTCCCCGTGTGTTGACGCTGTGTTATGTATGTCGATTTGTGTTGACGTTCGGGTGTATTTTGTCCTTATGTGTTGACGTTGCGTTATGTATGTCGTTGTGTGGTGACGTTGTGGTGTATTTTGTCCCTGTGTGTTGACGCTGTGTTATGTATGTCGTTATGTGGTGACGTTCGGGTGTGTTTTGTCCTTTTGTGTTGACGCTGTTTTATGTTGTGTGGTGACGTTGTGGAGTATTTTGTCTCTGTGTGTTGATGTTCGAGTGTATTTTACCTCTGTGTGTAGACGCTGTGCAATGTATGTATCGACGTTGTGATGTAATGTGTCATCGAGTGTTGACGTTTTTATGTAATGTGTCATTGAGTGTTGACGTTGTGATGCTATGTGTCATTGAGTGTTGACGTTGTGATGTTATGTGTCATTGAGTGTTGACGTTGTGATGTTATGTACCATTGAGTGTTGATGTTGTGATATTAAGTGTCATTGGGTGTTGACGTTGTCATGTTATGTGTCATTGAGTGTTGACGTTGTGATGTTAAGTGTCATTGGGTGTTGACGCTGTGTTGTTATGTGTCATTGAGTGTTGACGTTGTGATGTAATGTGTCATTGAGTGTTGACGTTGTGATATTAAGGGTCATTGGGTGTTGACGTTGTGTTGTTATGTCATTGAGTGTTGACGTTGTGATGTTATGTGTCATTGGGTGTTGACGTTGTGATGTTATGTGTCATTGGGTGTTGACGTTGTGTTGTTATGTGTCATTGAATGTTGACGTTGTGATGTTATGTGTCATGGAGTGTTGACGCTGTGATGTTATGTGTTATTGAGTGTTGACGTTGTGATGTTATGTTGTCATAGTATGTGTACGCAGTGGCATATTTTGTCTTGGTGTGTCGACATAGTAATAAGCAAGATTTGATGTATCTATATTTGTGTCTTATATCTGTATTTGTATTATATCTTCATTGTAAAAATCTCATTAACAATGACATGCTATCTATAGTATATTTTTTTAATTATCAGATGACGTAACCCGAGCCAGAAAGCCGTGATCATCACGCCGGTACATGTGTACGCATCACTCGGACTTCCTGCTGGCAACAAAGTTTGAATAATCTTGACTTCCGGTAAGTAACAGATATTGATATTATGTATAGCCTTTCCGGTATGTAATAGATATTATATATCTGAAAAGTGTATGGACTTCCGTTGAGTAACATTTCGAAATACCCGTCCTACCTGCTCGTTGAAAATATCAATATAAATGAGTTTCTGGTTAATGCCATCCAAATATTTTGTCTTCCGGTTTACAGTAGCTGTCTTTATGGTGATATGTTATTTATATCAATTATTCTGATATACGTATTTCAAAGTAATATCGTAGCTGTATGATGGGGTCGCAGGAATGGGCAAGTGATTTCTTCAAAGACTATCAGCTGGTAAAATCATTTTAGTAATAAGAGATGTATCTGGTAACCATTAAACGAATTTGATGACTGAATGGTAAGCTAAACAAATATTGAACTCGTACTAGAGATGATTACCCACCTTAGTTTCATTTCTCTCCGCTATGCCGCGCTATTTGAAACATATTATTTTTCGAAGCGAAACCTAGCGGAAAATACAAAAACCTACGTCAAGCATTTTAGTCTAAACGCTTGCATAAACAAATAAAAAAGATCAAGCAATTTAAATTTAAACTAATTAAAAGAGGATGAAAAGTACCGCAATCACCTTGAACATTTCAGAAGCATTTAAATGTGAAATATACAGCATGGTGCTATTTTTAATTTGACAAAAATAAAAAATAAAAGCCTACATGTGGGTGCAGCCATCGTATAACAGCCCGACATTAATTGCATCACGTGGTTTTACAGTTTTGTATCACGTGGTCACACCCGACGTGTCGACGCTGGCGGGAGAGAGCCGTGACAACTCATTTATATACGTTACGCCATACCTCGTAAAAACCTCTGTCAGTCAAAACATCCACATTTTGATCGCTGTTCTGGTTAATAGTTTTTTCGTAATAAAACAGCCAACTGAGATCCACAAACAGCGTTTGTTCTGCAAGGACAAAAAGCGCTCTATTGAGTCAGATTGGACAAATAAATCGAATGAAAGCTTTGAGAACTGTTGACGTCACGAATCAGATCGAGGTGTGAAAGGAGACGATAACAAAGCAGCACCAAATAGTTCAAAAACAAATCTGTGACAGAACAGCACATCGAATGTTTATACATGTGTAGTGGTTTTGTCCTAAGCAGTTACAGTACACCATACACAGTTTGTGGTAGCTCGGCGTCGGTCTACTGAGTGAAACGTCTAAGGTTCAAAAAAGGACAGGCATCAACACCTATTAAAGTTTTCTTGAATGAGATATTTTATCATAAAGTCTACCCATCTGTACCAATTAGTAAAACCATATTTGGTGATAATCTTCCGATAGACTGGCGTGCTTATTGACTTCCGGTCGCTTTGCGCCGTTGCATCTGGATTAAAGTCCCGCTCTTTTGACCTTTTAGTCAAGGCAAGTCTACGTATACACTAACTCTTGTCTTCACATGTAAATAAGTAATATTGTGTCAGTTTTATGTTATAAAAATGAAACACTCCATGGTCGAGGAAACCCGTGATCACAGACAGGGTGCATTCTAGAGTGTTTCATCAATTTACTTTACAAATGTTCATTTGGACAGTTTTAGTAAGCGTTCCTGAGAAACAAAACGAGCTATACATAATAAAACAGAATCCAGGACAATAACGAACCTTGGTTGATATAACACAAATTATGCACTTTTACATTAGAAAATTAGACATTTGCATCAACATTCACATTCGTGTTTTGTTCGTCACACAGCGATATAACGTGTAGAGAATGCACATGGAAATCGTTAAACACTGATCAAATAGAATAATCCTTGTTTACTTATACCCCGCCGGACGGGATCAAATGTTGATTTCCTTACAGGAATGAGATCTCGTCTGTGTCGGTGGACCATTTTCAGTATATTACTATTGGTGTCCCTGATTCGGCGTAAGCTTATTAGCGTGTCTCACGTCCATTTCTGCCCGTATATAGTTCCGGAATTTCAAACCATGGTCGCCTTGGAGATTAGACTTAACATAGACTGTCAATTCTTTGTGTGTGACCTCTGGGACTAGCGTGGTCGTACAACGTAGTTTGTTTTTGTTATAATGCCCTGACGTCTCTTCACAGGTCATGAAGGCACTGGCATTTGATTGTAACGGAGAAATGTTACAGTACGCCAGCATTGTAACTGTCGGAAACGGTACAACCTGCTTTATACACGTGCTAACCTCAATAGCAGAGAGGCGGTTAGCTGTGACACTTTCACTTTAAATTGACTTGCTTTTTATCATTCTACAAGAGAATCAACAATTGATAAAATTACGTGACACAGTGCCACGGAAAATGGCTTTAAGGCCGCCGCTTGTACCATGGCGTATTCAGAACCAGTACGGTTTGGTATAGTTCAAGATAGGATAAATAGAGCGGGCCTATTGATCTCTCTATCGGACCTCATCGATATATATATTCAACACGGGAACTAATGAGCGCCGGCGGTGAGGACGGTTACGTAGTAAGCTAATAGTTTTAAACATTTTAATCCGCGACGTCCTGAATGTTTACTGTAATTTGGACTGGATTTCGCGTAGATTTATTTTCGCGTTTTTAATGCCATTAACACTTACACGCATAGATCTGATCAGTAGAACTCCTGTAGTCGGGATTATTTACTGTCAAAAAATTGATCCGTGTTCATTCACCTTATAGTAAAAACAAACTCATGTGAACATATGTTTTCATTGTACCGTGAAAATAACGGTATCATACCATCACCGTGCAAACACCACTACATTAAAAATAACCTTATCATGAAAACAGTTAAATATTTGCTGACGTGAAAATAACAATACAGAGAAAACACATCAGTGAACATTTAACTACCGCGGAAATATTCCTACAATGACAAATAACATTACCGCGAAAAGATATATTATACAAATATACAAATGTATATTGGGAGAAGGCGTTGCTAATTTGTGATAACGTGTGTCTAATCCTTTGTCTACTTTTGACAATAAATATTTTTAAACTAAACCGCGAAAATGACGCTACCATTAAAATTATACTTCATACAGCAACCAACCGTGTTATGGTTTGATGTGTGGGACTCATATAACGTGACATACTTAGTAATCTCAATTTCTTGCTGTATTTCATGTTACTATCATAGTGATATGTTGACTTTTTAATTTAATTTTCAAATTATCGTTTCAGTTGTCTTTGCTTGTTTTACATTAGTTTTAAACATAAGCTTTATTTTGGGTGTGGAGGGGGGGGGGATTTTTGTTTTAAAGTTAGTTTCCCCTTTGAATGCCTCTGTAATAACCCGTATATAGCCAATACCATGTGGGATTAACTAGAGCGATCTAGACACTTCAGACAACATGTTTAACATGTATGACATAATGTACTTTAAAAATGTCATCGGATGTTTAAAAACAATGTCTCATCTGTACGTGCAATTATCCTGTAGTTCAAGAGACATTCCCCGTTTTGCCCTTTGACTTCATATTTTTAAAATTCCTTTTGTTTAACCTGAGTCATAGTACTACTAGCGATATGCTTATGATAAACAGAAGCGTGTGTAACTGCCATCCCTGGTCTCCCCCTAAACACTCGTCCCCACACGCTACACGAGTAATTGCCGAACTTGTCCCCCTTCACAATCTCTCAAACGCTACACGAGTAATTGCCGAACTAATTATGTATCTATATATCTCCAACACATGTCAATATAGCGTTACATGCTTGCGATTAAATTCACCGCCAATCCCACGACTTGTTCGGTGAATGAAATATGATTAGGTATTTAAAAATTAATTTCCACTCCAGAAATGATTCACTCATTTGAAAAATAACTGAGAAAAGTACGCACGCGTCAACTTACGGTGTACGACAGCCCCTCATTAAAGGGCTAGCTACGACACTGGAAGGAGTAAGGAATGTTTGTATTAGCTGACCTCGCTTCGATATGCCTGGTTAAGTGTTTAACACAACGTAAAGATAAAATTTCAATTAATCTTTTTCCTCCGAAACTATAATGAAAACGATCAACAGCTGTTTATTTGTTGAGTATGACCATTCAATTTAAACCTGAGCTAGTTTTGTCCACCATTTTTAAATAATGAAGAAATAGGTGCCAGATTGGATGTTTTCGTTATCACATTATGTAAAGCTGAACTCCGTCTTTGAGCTAATAAGCCAACACGTGTAGCTGTTTTCTTTTTTAAAGCCTGGTTAGCTGTCGGCAAAAAGAAAAACATTCTTTATTCAGCAGATAGAATGATATTTCAAACAAAATTAAAATTTTAAAATCAAAACTGTGTATAAACTCATGGAATATTTTAATCTGGATTGCGAGAAAATGCAGATATTATTCATAAATTATTAGCTGCTTTATATATTATTAATTACTCAGTAGGCTAGCGGACCTTTATATAACCAATACTTCGTTTCCTATTGCTAGTATCCCGGGTAGTCGGACGGTCTGCACGCTACGAATAATTAGGTAGAAATAATCTTGAAAATATCTTAAAGCACGGCTTCGAGTTTGTATGGAATTGTCATTCACCATCGGTTCTTTGTAGAGAACATATGTTCGTTAGCGCAAGTCGGTGTTAACATTTTGTTTATTTACGCAGGTGGCGTAAGAAACGCAAACCAAACAGTGATATTATAGGATTCAAAAATAGCTGTACCTTTGCTCTTTACGCCATCTTTAGGGATCAAGTGTTGGATTTTAAGCGTTAGACTATAAACCCAATTCCTGATGTGAGACATATGGGCCCGGAATCCCAGATCGGGACTCAGGAACTTAGCACCGCATGTGGTTCCGTCAGTGGTTTCAGGGTGCTGTCATCACTCCACCGAGCTTCATGTATAGGTGCCGAGTATTATACGGAAAGCTTGAAAAGTTGGACTGCATCGGCTCGATCGAGCCAAATAATGATTTAAGGAGGGATTTTATGTGACGTTCCCTCCCAATTCCTGCGCATTGATGTACACACAACATCTGTGTTATATTTTTTGCTTTGT